CACCAGCACAGTCGTGGCGACAGCACTAGCCATTCGGTCGTAAACCATCAGGTTCAAAGACCCCCCCCCCCCCTTTCCTAAAAATCTGTAAATTACTGCCTTTATTATACCACTTTTGCAGTGTAGGCAGGGGGCCTATACTGTAGTGTAGGCAGGGGGCCTATACTGTAGTGTAGGCAGGGGGCCTATACTGTAGTGTAGGCAGGGGGCCTATACTGTAGTGTAGGCAGGGGGCCTATACTGTAGTGTAGGCAGGGGGCCTATACTGTAGTGTAGGCAGGGGGCCTATACTGTAGTGTAGGCAGGGGGCCTATACTGTAGTGTAGGCAGGGGCCTATACTGTAGTGTAGGCAGGGGGTCTATACTGGAGTGTAGGCAGGGGGCCTATACTGCAGTGTAGGCAGGGGGCCTATACTGGAGTGTAGGCAGGGGGCCTATACTGCAGAGTAGGCAGGGGGTCTATACTGCAGTTTAGGCAGGGGGCCTATACTGCAGTGTAGGCAGGGGGTCTATACTGCAGTGTAGGCAGGGGGTCTATACTGCAGTGTAGGCAGGGGGCCTATACAGTGCAGTGTAGGCAGGGGGCCTATACTGCAGTGTAGGCAGGGGGCCTATACTGCAGTGTAGGCAGGGGGCCTATACTGTAGTGTAGGCAGGGGGCCTATACTGCAGTGTAGGCAGGGGGCCTATACTGCAGTGTAGGCAGGGGGCCTATACTGCAGTGTAGGCAGGGGGCCTATACTGCAGTGTAGGCGTAGGCGGGGGGGGAAGGGGTAACATAAAGGCAGTAATTTGCAGTTTTTTTTTCTTCCTAGCTTTCAACACATTTATTTCATATGTATATACTTGTGGCCGGATTGAGACTTGCTGAGGCTATGAGCTGTATGAAGCTCTGGTGCCACTATTGCTTTCAATCACACCCAGTAATCCACGAACACTTTTAAATGCATACGCCTTGTAAATATATGGAAAATGGAACTGTGCTTTAATATTTAGTAAACGAAATAATAAAGAATGTGTAAAATCACATAAATTAAATTATATAATCCTATTTTTTATGTTTTATTCAACGGATCAACATCATAGCACAAAAGTATTAAACCATAAGTGCCCCGTTCTACTTCTAACTCAAGCTTGAGTCTGAAGAATCTTAGCGCAACGCACGAACTCTGTAGTACCAGCAACACCAAATACTTTGGGTAGATCTGTAACTCTAGATTTTTACCTCGGCAGCGCCGTCAGGCTACTCTTTTCGACTTTCAACTGCCAATGGATTTTTTATGTGCGCAACAATACACACAGGCGTCTGATCTTACTACCCAGAGACCAGGGCAAATTACTAGACCTCCAGCACTCGAAGCAGACGCCATGCCTCGAAACCATTCAGCCTGCTTTATAATCCTATAAAAGGCCCCATTAAAGAAAACTTCATGTAAAATATGTTTTTAAAAAATTTCATTTCTGTAAAACAAGAATGAATTTGAACAAAGAAGTCAGAAACAATAGATTGCACAATGTATTGCCTGACCTCGTCGTCAGGTACATACTACAGTAACTATTGCTTAAAATTAAGAATAAATTAATACTTCGAGTTGAAACACAAAATCGACTACATTCATTAACTGTTTTACCAGGGTAAACGCAAAGTGAAGAACATGTCCTAAATGAAAAATGAATTTGATGAAGCCCCTTCAGACTGTGAGGACCTAAGCTGTAGCTTATGCATAAATCCAGCACTGCGTGTACTATACTTCTTTACAATCCTGGGTCAGAACGGGGACACTTGACTGGGCATTAACCAGTAACTGAGGCGCCATTCGTGTTATTATGTGCGTGTAATTGCTGTCTAACATATAAAAGAAGAAGAAGAAGAAGAGAGTAGGGGAGGGGGCGGGGTTGGCTGCGGCTTAGCTGGCGAATATAATTAATGCTTAAATTATAAACAAAAATAACAGAATAATCTGTGGACATATCCGACTGCGCTGAAAGAACGTATATGACGAAAATTATGAGCAAACGTGCCTGTGTCGCATTGCAGATGTCTGTAAACCAATGGCGTTCGCCGTTACAATTGAGAACACTCTTCAACATGGGGCGCGGAAGCCGTGTAAGTCCAGTCACAACGAGTGCGTCACAGACGAAGTAGTTCAACGGATACCAGTATTCTCTGGTCGAATATAACACAGCATTGGATTATTGTCTCCAGATAGATACTGGCGTTAATTTTAGGGACATCTCTATTGAGTATAAGGGTTCCTTGCATTTTGTATCAGACAAGAGTATTTTGCGTAGGAATTTTGTGAGGCGCCAAAAAGAAAATTACGCGGATACGGAAGTGATTGACCCAGTGCGACTGAAGAAAACGGATTTTTGTACAATAGGACCCGGCTTCAATCCAAAATGGTAAATGTTTGTCCTTTATTCATCGTTATTAGAAAATGAGATAATAAAGGACTTTAATTGTCACCGAATTCAACTGGATTTGTATTTCAGTGTGTAATGCTTTCTGAAAGGCGTAAAAGGCCGTTCCGAATTTACACTTTACAGCAATCATTGTTTTTTAGGAACAATTATTGTGAAACCTTATGTTCTGATTTTTTGTATATTTGTTGTACCGTTACATATTTTATTGCTGTGGAAATAATAAAAGATATGTTTTGTGTATTGTGAGTAAGGTAGTAAATATGTCGGGTTTAAAAAAAAAAACACCGATAAAATTAATTTAGCAATATCGTCTGATCACTAAAAATGACCAAGGTCCACCATTCGTAGCCATAGCAACGTTTCTTTTTGACTTTTTCTTTTCTTTCATGGCGACCGTCATCAAGAAGAGTAGTCAGTTTAAAAAATGGTCAGTTAGAAATGTTTGATGTGCATAAATCTAAACAAAACAAAAAATTTAGTTTTTATTACATTTACATACGATGATAAGTACTGTGGCACTAGATTTTACATTTGGTTCACAAACGGAATAGCAGACTCGCTCACTGAGTGATTCAGTTCACTCATCAACTATATATCATAGAAGTAATACTACTACTACTACTGTTGAATGAAGTGATTAAGCTACCCTCTACCCTTCTTCACTCTTCTTTCTTTATTTTATCAACCACCTCTCTCTCTCTCTCGCCCACCCCCTCTCTTTATCTCTCTCACATACACACATATTTTGAGTGTCTTTTTCTATCCTCCAGTGTTTTCTGTACATTTTTATATCCTAAGTTTTTGCAAGCAACATTAGAAAATGCTGCATTACAAACCATCTTTGTGACTGTTCTGTAGTTGGCTGTCTTATTTGGCTGTTATTTAAAGGATGGCCAATCCTATCCTTAAGTCACCTTTTTTTTTTTTACTCTGACATACTTAGTGCATGCAGTGTCACACTGATAACCCTTTTTCAATCTTCTTCATTGACCGTTAACTCCAGCGGAAGGTTCTTGTTGTTTGTCTACTTCTAGTCTTAAGTCTCATTCCAGAGTGTATTTTTTTCATACAGAATCAGGCAAACTGTACCAGACTATAAATATGATGTAATAATATTTAACACAGATTTTAACCTAAAACTGTAAATTCAAACATACATAATAATTTGTTTTAAATCCTTTATTTAATAACACTTAAAACTGTTAGCTGGATAATATGTTGTAAGAACTTATTTTACTGGACTGTTTGCTATCAGAAACAAAATAGACTAAATATACAAACTCTTTCCATTTTATCCATGTCTCGTGTGGCTTGTTTTTATTTTCATTTTGCATGTTATTGCGGATTGAACACTGGAGACTTAACAGTAGTATGTGTTTTTTATAATGTATGAAGCAGTGTATTACAGAACAAAGGATATTCTGTATACAACCAGAAAAGCGGTGTAATGTTTAGGTTTTTTCCATTTAAGAATATTGGAAAATATACCATAACAGGAACTCACAAGCAAATAAAATGAAGTTGCAGGAGATGCGATAGCTGCTGCTCGTGAGTCCTAGCCATCTAGTTTAGCCCCAATCCACGCCGCATGAGCGGTATGGGGAACACACTCGGCGGTGGCTGAAGTCGCCGGAAGCGCACATTTTAATTGGCACGTGACTGAGGCCCTGTTAGGGTATATTTTCCACCTTGATAATTTACGACCGTTATTCGGAGGAATTAGTATATGGAATTAGTCTTAAACATGAATTCAGTTGACTATATTCATTGTTGATTTTAAATAGGGTTGTGAGTGAAGCGACAATTTAAAATGTATCCATTACTTAAGAATACTTTGATGGGTTCGTGTGTCTTTGTATTTATGTATGGGTGTGTGAATATAGATATGTAATGTAACAACACTACTGTGGGTTTTTGATACTGTCCAGGGGTGTAAAAAGCCACTGATGCAGAAACCATCTCACACTGTGCCTGTGTTATCCGGATCATACAACAGTAGTACATAAATACAGTGCAGATCTGATAAGGAAAACAGACGCACCAGGGACCTCTTATCCAGATAAGAGAAATGTCATTTTTTTAGGGACCCTAAAATAGTCAGATATTCCTCTTATCAGGATAAGATTTTGAGCAAGAAAAATTGCAGATGATAAACATGTTTTTTTTTGCAGCATAAGTTTGCCTCATCTGAGATCACCTTAAGCAGTCTGCATTGTATTTATCATTTATTGGGACCCATGTCACTGTGCTGCCAATGTCTGTCTCTCTGTCCCGGTCACTGGCTAATTTCAGTACCGATGGGTGACGTTCAGTTCCACACTTGTAATCATCCAAAATGCAGTAATAGATAACTACAGCTTACACAGCGTCACATGCTTTCTTTTTTAAATGGCAGATACAGAATTTGTGAAGTTGCATTTTTTTTTTTTTTTTTTTAGGGCCTGAGACTCAACCTCTTTATGTTCAGATCCCAGCACAAGGCTGAGCAGTTTGTAAAAGCACCAGAGATTTTTATTTTAATCTCACATCCCCTTGATTTCTTGAAAAGTGGTATATCACCTGCCTAGATTTCTGAGATGGTGACATTGCATCGGTATTTGGGGCTCAGTATCTTACATAGAATCTGTCTAGTAGAGAAGGAAGACTTGTACAGATGCAGGCTAAAATTTGGCCCTGCTCATCTCTGAGGTTCAAAGTGACATGCTCCCCTTGAATGAGGAACGCGAAGTTGAAACACAAGTTTTCTTCTACACGTTTAGCGGCTGTAAACTGGCGAAAAGTTCTGGTTGTTCATCCATCTCTGGACCTTAGTTTTGTTCTGAACCTGAGTGTTGTGTCCACATCAGTTTTACAGATCTGACTTATTTGTATGCCGACTGTTGCTTCCTTTGCCTCTCAGGCAGATGCACTCTGACTTTGAAGGAAACCACCAGTTGGTCGTCTCCTATGACATGCTTGTGGTGGACTCAGTAGTATTGTCTTATTTTCCACACAATGGGGTCCTGGAGCCCACACTGGGAACATGAGATTTGTAATCTTTGTTAGTTTGGAAATCTAACGATTATGTTCTGCCTTCTAATCTTCATTCTCTGCCTCTTTCACATTCGATGGTTTACTATTTTCAGGCTGATCAGTTGACAGAAGAACAAATTGCAGGTATGTTTGTGTCACTTGTCTCTTACATATGGATAGATATTGGTAGAATAGAGCAGGTTTTTTACATGTGACTCTTCAGTGTAAAATTTAGTCAGTCATTGTTGCTTTTTAGCTTTCATGGCTCTATCCATTTTTTTTTGTGTGCATATATTAGTATTACCCTCAACTCTGTAGTTTGTTACAAAGCTTCACTTGCTTCTTCTTGTATCTTTCTTTGCTATATCCTTCTTCTTCAGTCAGCCAGTATGTTTTCTTTTTCAACAATATTTTGCTTTGCATCTGTTCCAATGCACGGGTTACAAATAGGACGATGCACTTGAGGTCATTACCAGTACCTTGTTTTATCCACAGTGTTATGGCTATAATACTAATTTCTGTGCTTTTTTCCTCTCCATTTCTTTTGCCTGTACTTCAAGAGAATTTAGATTTTTCTTAGTTTGTAATGTCCATCGCCACTATTTTTCCTTAACTCTAAATTGAGATCTGTTCAGTTATTTCCATGAGGTCAGTGTTAGTTTTTGTGAAGTAGTTCAATATGTTTATTTAAAGTTGTCTAGATTAACTACTTGCCTTAGTAATATATAGTGAGCAAAGGCCCCTTTCAACAGCATTGGCTCCTGCAGCATATGATGCTGGTCTCATATATTTATCGACACAGCATGGGTGGTGTGGTCACCATCATGCTGGCCACCTTAACTTCCCAGGGCAGATGAGCATCCAGTAGGCTATTTCAGCTCTATTAATGAATGATGAAGAGATAAATAGAAGTGTTTGTTCTGGGACCACATTGGTGGGGGAGGGGGTGTTAAATCTACTGCCTCTTCTCTCTCTCTCCCCCCCCCCCACCCTAATCATGCCGTAAAAGTCAACCATTTTAGGGGTGTTTCTTTCAACCTCATGGGTGCCTCTGCTTGAGAGGCAAGGAAAGCTAACTGCCTGCATACAAAAAAGACAGCTCTATAAAGTGGATGTGCATGCACAACTCAAATTGTGGGAAAAGACCCAAGTCCAGAAGTGGGAGGGGGCATATCTTTACACAAAGTTTAGCTGGTGAACAACACGAAGAATAGAAATGTTCAAGAAGAGGAAATGTTCTCATGGTTGAGCACCTATGCTGTGTTGATGGGAAATTAAAGAATAGCAACTATTTATTTTTAAGTAAAGACAGACAGATTAAATAGCATTTAATAAGTACATTCACGGACTAAAAAGCATTTTTTGTTTGTCCCTTTGTTTTAGAGTTCAAAGAAGCTTTCAGTCTTTTCGACAAAGATGGTGACGGTACAATCACAACCAAAGAGTTGGGTACGGTTATGCGCTCTTTGGGTCAGAACCCAACAGAAGCTGAGTTGCAGGACATGATTAATGAAGTGGACGCTGATGGTGAGTAGACACCAATCTTTTTACAGCCGTCACTGTTACATTGTCTTGTCTTTTTAATATGTCTATCTGTCCTCAGCTATAGGTAAAGTTTTGAGGGAAACAGGTTAAGGTACCTTTTACACCCCAGCAGTGCATTGGGCAAATGAGGCTATCATCATCAGGTGCCTTGCCTATTGGCTTGGGCGATCATGCCTCTCCACAATCTGCGATCTCCTGCAGCATGTTTCAGTTCGTGTGCCGACGCACCTCCATGCCATGCAGCAAGACTGTCAAGAATCTTCTCTCTTTGTCTTCCTCTTCCTCTATCCCTCCTTCCACAGATCTTTCCAGTGGTCACAACATGTTATATTTTCCCTCTTCTCATAACATGGCAGAAAAACGATGTCTCCTTCTGATGTCTTGATGTCTGTGATAAGTTGTCTTCGGGCTCCTGCCTCTTTCAAAACCTCTTGGTTGCTGTTTTTGGCTATCTTAGGTATTCTAAGCATTCTTCTGTAAAACCACAACTCTGAGGCATAAAGAAATTGTTTAGCCTGCCTACCAATTGTTCAGGATTCACAGCCATATGTTAAAACTGGATGTATGTAGCAAGCAAGAATTCTTATTCTAACTCTCAATGACAAGGATATATTGCACACGATGTTCTTCATTTTATAAAATGCAGGTTTTGCCTGTCCTATTCTGTTTCTTATCTCAGTTATACATCTTCCATCTGATATTATCCATGTGCCCAGATACTTAAATTTCTGTACTTGTCCTAAAATAACACCATATTTTTTTACACTTTTAGGAATAATTCATTTCTTTGATACCACCATTACTTCTGTCTTCCCATTATTAAATCTGAGGCCCATTTTTCTTGATAGTCTAAATATAATACACTGTCCCTCTCTGGAGAGGCGATGAAGCAAGTCCGGAAAAAAAGAATTTGGGTGTGTGTATATAGCCACTTTTCTAGGATACTAGATTGTATTAATGTCTTAGTCTCTTGGTAGTTTAAGTCACTGTTTAGTTGTACCATGTCACTGTCGCTTCTAGCTAACCTGTCTGCTATTTCATTGCCTTCCAAGCTACTGAGGAGCCTAACTGAATCAGCTGTTGCCTTAAGTCTGCAAAATGTTTTTTGGGTTAACAGCTTGTAGAACTGACATAGCATCAGTCAAAAAGGACCACTCTGCTATATTTGCTGTGCTGTCCATTCAGGAAAAAACATGTCACCAGAAGTGCACCTGTCTTTGCTCTGCAGTCGATTGTAAGCTTTCAGTGGAACATTTGGAACTATGGGAGGGAGTTTGAGGTCAGCGAGCTTGACATTTGCGTTCTTAATAAAGCATGTTCTCTTTTGTCGGCTGTGCATGGGTTGTACTTTCAAATAGTGGTATTTGGAGAGCCGGTGTAGGAGCTTTGTCTCTTTCCTGTCTTCCAGAGCATGGAGATTGGTAATTGTTTCTATGTCTGATATGGGCGTAAAGCGCATGGCTCCCATCATAATACGGAGAGCATGGTTTTGAGACTTTCTGAAAATGTGATTTAGCTGCTGTGCCGCCAGCAGCTATCCTATATTCTATCTAGTGTTGGCCTCACATAGCCTGTATAGGTAGTTCTTTTTGAGGTCACTGATGTTAGCCCCCTAGTCTGTTCCAGCTAACTTCCTCATCAGTTGCGTTTTCTTGAGTCCCTTGCTCTGATTTTGGTCTGTTTTCTCCATGTGTCTTAGGTCATAAGTTACTCCTTAATACGACTGTGAGTCGTCATGTTTCAGTGCCTGGGTGCCATATGTAAGTGAAACTTTCTGGGATTTGGTGAAAAGACTGAAAATAGTGTGTGTGATTTTGGTCCCATTTACAGGCATGTGCTAACTATTGGACCACTTCGCCAGACTTACTAGGGATTCCTGAAGCCTTTGTGCTGTGCCAGTATTCTCCTCTGAGCTCAGTAGTGCCAGATCATCGGCATAGATCACAGCTTGAACTCCATTACGGATGGTTGATTTTATGTCAATAATAAAAAAGAGGAAAATAGTTGGGGGGCAGAACTCCACCTTGTGGGACGCATTGTTTCATTTTCACTAGTCTGCTCCTTGAACCATGTATCTCGACTCTTGGAGTTCGATTTTCAAGGTATTTTACGATCATCTAAGCATGTTATGTATTTTCCACTTTCAAGTAGCTTTTGTTTCAGCCCATTTTTTCTCACTTTGTTGGTCTTTTCCTGCATCTCAACTGATTGGGAGCTTCTTTGGAAGTTGGAGTGCATCTGCCCTAGAGGCATAGAACCAGCAGTCTGTATATGAATGAGTCTAATCTTTAATATGGATGTGCATGAAGTACTCAAATTCCGGAACAGGACTTAAATCCAGAAGTGTACCAACAACCAGAACTTTCCACCAGAGTTAACAGCCAGTGAATACAAAGAAGACATTGTTGCCTTTTTTACACTGGCTTTAAGCAATTCCTTTTCTCTCTCTCTCACTCAGTCTCCATTCCCCCCCCCCCCCCCCCCCCCTCTTCTCTCCCTCTGTGTAACGCAAATGTTAATAATGGGACTATTGTTTATTAAATACAGCAAATATGAGGGTTATGTAAAACAACCTTCTGTCATTTTCTTGAGAGGCACTAGATGTTTTCTCGGGAATGATAAATAGTAAATAAACGATCTGACACAATAAAGAGGTCCACATTTATATTATTTCTTGATATTAAGATATAAGCTGACAGTAAGCATTGTTGTCAACTCAAGCTCTTTGTCCATGCATGATCACAACTATCAGTATAATTGTCATTCTTTATCCCCCTACCGTGCATTCCACTTGATTTCTTTAACCAAAAACATCCCTGCCCTCTCTAATATTGTGGTATGCCAATGTTGCAGAAAGTGACTCATTAAGATTTAACTGAAAACAGATGTGCAGAGTTGAAGACTATCACAGCCTATCTGTAGAAAGCACATCATGCTAACCGTCATTTTAAGGGGGAGTGCAGAAAAAAATTATGTGGCCTGCCCATGTAGACGAATATAGGCACTCTGTCGTCATGACACTTTAAAAATATGTATCGTGTGCCGACATTTATTTATTATTTCCCGGAAGAAAAACCTTGTTTGCTTTAATGTTCCACTCCAGATGTGAGCAGCAGATATTGTTTAGTATTTGATGACTTTGAAATAGTCACACAAACAATGCTTCATATCCTGGCATCTAATCACTGGCATTGAGTTTATTAGGAAGTGGCTTTATTGTCTTGAAATTGAGCCTCTGTTTAAGAACAAAAAAGGTTTAGGTTGGAAGATGAGCAGGATATTAACATCATGCTGAGAATGATTTTGCTGCCCTTCAAAACTTAGGGAAAGCAAATTATTTTAAAATTGTTGGCCACATTATACTGTGGATCTATCTAGTACATTATCTTCTGTTTCTTCACGTTTACTGGCTGTAATTTCTGTTGGGAAGTTCTTGGTGTTCCTTCAATCTCCAGGCTTTAGTCTTGTTCCAGAAGCTGAGTGTTGCTTGCGCATCTATTTCGCACACATTGGTTGCCTCCTTCTTAGACGTATTACGCCTACTTTCCCAGTTAGTCGTCGGCTCTTGTGACATGCTTGTTGGGGAGACAGTGGGTCTATTCTTGTTTTTCCCACTATGGGGTCCCAGAACACACAAACATTCTGTAAAGCTCAGAGAGATGTAAGTCTTTATTTATGTTGACCCATGTTTGTTTGTTTTTTTTTTTTTTTTTTTTTTTTTTTTTTAAATGTTTTTCAGCAAAAACTCAGAATTCCAAACATTCACGAGACTTTATAGCATTTTTGGGGGATGACAGGGCTTTTCTTAGATGAGTTCCCCAGTCTTGTAGATTTTAGAAGAACAAACATTTATTATTCTTCTTTACGTTCACTGGGTGTTAACTGGCCAAAAGTTCTAGTTGTTCGTCCACCTCTGGACTTCAGTCTTGTTGTAGAACCAGAGTGTTGCGTGCACATCCGTTTTACAGATCTGACTGACTTGTATGCAAACAGTTGTTCCTTGCCTTTCTGATAGATGCACTCCGACTTTTAAAGAATCCTCCATTTAGTTCGACTCTAGCAACCTGCTTTTTTTTTGGGGGGGGGGGCAGTGGATCTATTATCTCTCTCTCCTCCTTCCTCCCCTCCCCCCCCCCCCCTCTTCCCCCCAACCCGGGGGGGGGGGGAGAAACACTTATTTATACAGAATGCTGGCTTTTGAAACTTTCTAGACATTATTGCATTGTTTAAATGTTGGTTTTTTTTTAAAAAATCTTTGCAGGTAATGGTACAATAGACTTTCCAGAATTTCTCACAATGATGGCCAGAAAAATGAAAGATACTGACAGTGAGGAAGAAATTCGAGAAGCATTCCGTGTGTTTGATAAGGATGGCAATGGGTTTATCAGTGCTGCTGAGCTGCGACATGTGATGACAAATTTAGGTGAAAAATTGACAGATGAAGAGGTCGACGAGATGATCAGGGAAGCCGATATTGATGGTGATGGGCAAGTAAATTATGAAGGTAATTAATGTGGTTTAAATATATTTGTGTAGTAAAGCAAATATAGTTGTGGATTTTGCTCAATTTCACAGGCAGCATAAACAGTTGAACTTGCTACAGACAAAGGTAAATTTGGAGATGTGAACCAGCGTCATTGCACACGGTTATAAACCATAAGTGCTCTGCCACCAGTACAGACAGCTAATAATAATTGTCCATCTGTGTCGCCGTTCGCATGTAACTCTGTAGCTACAGCGACGTTCCTCCATTTACCGCAGAGTGTCAACTCTAGTACCCATTTCCTAAAGGCTGGGTGAACCCAAGGAGCTGCCCAGTTTCGAACACCGACTGTGGGCTGCAGCGAGGCTACAGACATCTTTACATGCAGTACGGAGAGCCAGTTAGTATTCTTGTTGTCATCAATGGAGGATATGTATTGCACTACAACATTCATAGAGGCCTGTGATTTATTCATCTGAAGAAAGAAAAAAGAAAAACAATTGGATGGTCAGTAGCTTAATGACAGCTGGCAATTTTGAGGAAAGAAGCACTTTTTACTCCTTAACACACACACTGCCTCCATCAATCTTCTCCATTTATAGCGATGATCATAGGGGAAGGTTACATGTTTTTTGGTGGAGGGGTACATAGAACATGCCAGTCAGTAGCCATTTAGATGTCACCTTCGTGCATCTAATTTTTGTAAGCACCACAATGCAGATCTGATCAGTAGATGTCACCAGGGACCCCAGAGATGGTTATTCTTATGGAAAATTCCTTTTATCCAGACACATCAGAGCATCTTTGTCATTCAAGTGGTGACATTGACTGCAGAGATGAGACAACTTTGCAAAAGCTGACTGTACAACAATTATCCCTACCACTTTTTTTTTCTCCTGCTGTTCCTGAGTTGATTGAGGGCTCCTTTGAGGATAAAGGGCAGAAAAAAAAAAAGAATAAGTTCGTCCGTGATACATAACTTTTGTGAGTCTCTGATGTGTTTGGTTTGGTTCAGTGATGTAAACTTTGCTGAGGTGGAATTCAAGGGTACAAACACAATGTAGTTTACTTACCTTCTCTCTTGTGTTGCTCTTATTCTGCCAGTAGCAGTCCTCTTATGCATTTTTCAGAAATTCTGCTGTGGGTTCCTGGACATGCATATAGTTCTTTATTGGCATAAATGTTGAGGAGGCTGGTGTTTCAAGCTACAATAGTTGTGTTGTGGTGGTGTCTTATTTTTCAGTGAATTGTGAACTTTGTTATTGTAAGCACATAACGTGCTGGTCTCAATGTAGTCTCGTTAATTCTTTCGTTACCAAGGGATTTAACATCAGAGGACCAACAGGTGGTGGTGAAATTTCAGCCATTGAAACAATGCATACAAAAATTACTTTGGCTCCTGGGTTGACCCAGCTTGGCATGGGTTCTAGGTAAGGTCCTGGGAGTTGGCCAGTTGGATGTTGCCCACATCACCCACCATGTGCCGCTTGGTCTGTAAAATATAGGTCTAATTCAATATGCCTGAAGGTGAAGAGAAGGGTCCTTTGCATTTACACAAACAAAATGCAACACATGATATCATTAAATCCAGCATGTTATTCTGCTATGTTCTAAAGTTTCTTTTTTTTTTTTTTTTTCAGAATTTGTAACCATGATGACATCCAAGTAATTATTTTTTTAAATATGATCTGGGTCGTCACCTTCATTATTACTTGCCACAGTCATCAACAGTGTGAAAGAGGAGATGGAATGAAAAGCAGCAAGAATTCTATGTGAATCTTCATGCTTGCACTTACCAAACTATAGATGCAGCCTGAAATGGATAAAACTACCTTTACATCTGACATGGAGCGCAGTCAGCCCGTGAGTCCACCAATAGCTGGCGCCTCATCACAGACCTTGTTTGCTGAAATGTGTATGCTGTGAATGCTTGTTCCAGCTGGTGATTCATTTGCATTTCTGTTTAATTTTCCTGCTTTTTTTTTTTTTTTTTTGTCGCGCCAAAACAACTTTCTAAGTGTTATTGGTTCTTTAAAGATCTGAAAGCATTTCATTTATAAATATTTATATAGTTTTTTTCCCCATTGATTTGTTTCATTTCTCACATGTATCAAGGTTACTAAGGGTATACCTGATATATTTCTGCAGGGTGTTACTCAATGGTTGACTATTTCTGCAGGGTAGTGTTTACTTAGATGTGTTGACTTTTGTTATTTTCTGCAGGGTAGTGTTACTTAGATGTTGACTGCAGGGTAGTGTTACTTAGATGTGTTGACTTTTGTTATTTCTGCAGGGTAGTGTTACTTAGATGTGTTGACTTTTGTATTTCTGCAAATTAGAATGTGTTGACTTTTGTTATTTCTCAGCAGGGGGTAGTGTTACTTAGATGTGTTGACTTTGTTATTTCTGCAGGGTAGTGTTACTTAGATTGTTGACTGTTATTTCTGCAGGGTAGTGTTTAGATGTGTTGACTTTTTATTTCTGCAAAGTCGCACTTAGATGTGTTGAACTTTTGTTATTTCTGCAGGGTAGTGTTACTTAGATGTGTTGACTTTTGTTATTTCTGCAGGGTAGTGTTACTTAGATGTGTTGACTTTTGTTATTTCTGCAGGGTAGTGTTACTTAGATGTGTTGACTTTTGTTATTTCTGCAGGGTAGTGTTACTTAGATGTGTTGACTTTTGTTATTTCTGCAGGGTAGTGTTACTTAGATGTGTTGACTTTTGTTCACATGGGTGCTGAATGTTTGATAGGTTAATTCTCAAATCTCATGTTTTGTTCTCCAAGTCAAGAGCCATGCTTAGTTTTGCTCCCTTGTTTTGTGGCTAATTTCTTAACAAACGCACAGGAAAATCATTGGCTGCATGTCGGAGGAAGACATGCTAAAACTACCTGCTTATTATTATTAGTGGAAAATTCATATTTCACGTTGATGCATTATGAATTTGCTTTTTCTTCCCCCAGAGTTGTAAATTTTTTTTTAATTGTTTGGGACCATTGCATAGTAGTTTAGGTAATCTTATATAGACGAGACATTTCTCTTTCAAGTACTTTGTCGTCTCCAGGGCCTTGCCTAATATATTTGGTGCCAGGGTTCGTTACTTGTTATGTTTGATCTAAATCTGTTTAGTGTTCCAGCATTGCTGTTTAGATCTCTGTTACCTTTCAGCTTCATGTGAAATCTAATTCATTGTTTCAATGTCATCCTGTAAGACACAACTGTCATCCTGCATAAACCAAGTTGTATCATCAATAAATGGCATTTCACTGTTTCACTTTGTTACCACATGAATATTACATCTTTTCTCTCTTCTCTCCCCCCCCCCCCCCCCCCCTTTTTTTTTTTTTTTTGGTGTGGTGTGCACTGGATTTGTTTCTGTTTGTGTTTTCGGAACAACCAAACTGTTCATACATAAACAATAAATTACTAGCACACACTATTTCTCTGGACTTGGTTATAATGCGCAACCATAGTATATTTGTCCTTTTTCCAAATTGTTCATACATGATTTATTAAAAGAAAAAAACTAATAGCTTTGTTTCATGGGTTGTGGTTATTTTATATGTTTGCCTAAGAGTAAAGTTTGTTTTTGTGTGTTAAATCTGAAACAGTTACAAGAATTCATGGATAAAACCAGTTGAAAGGTGTGGCGTTGGTGAACTTGTGTAAAACCAATTGAAAGGTGTGGTGTGGGTGAACTTGTGTAAAACCAGTTGAAAGGTGTGGAGTGGGTGAACTTGTGTAAAACCAGTTTGAAAGGTGTGTGAAAACATGTGGGTGAACTTGTGTGTAAAACCAGTTGAAAGGTGTGGCGTGGGTGAACTTGTGTAAAACCAGTTGAAAGGTGTGGCGTGGGTGAACTTGTGTAAAACCAATTGAAAGGTGTGGTGTGGGTGAACTTGTGTAAAACCAGTTGAAAGGTGTGGTGTGGGTGAACTTGTGTAAAACCAGTTGAAAGGTGTGGCGTGGGTGAACTTGTGTAAAACCAGTTGAAAGGTGTGGCGTGGGTGAACTTGTGTAAAACCAGTTGAAAGGTGTGGTGTGGGTGAACTTGTGTAAAACCAGTTGAAAGGTGTGGGTGAACATGTGTAAAACCAGTTGAAAGGTGTGGTGTGGGTGAACTTGTGTAAAACCAGTTGAAAGGTGTGGCGTGGGTGAACTTGTATAAAACCAATTGAAAGGTGTGGCGTGGGTGAACTTGTATAAAACCAGTTGGAAGGTGTGGCGGGGGTGAACTTGTGTAAAACCAGTTGAAAGGTGTGTTGTGGGTGAACATGTGTAAAACCAGTTGAAAGGTGTGTTGTGGGTGAACTTGTGTAAAACCAGTTGAAAGGTGTGGTGTGGGTGAACTTGTGTTGAGCTTGAAATATTTAGCCGTCAAAATCAATGCTGGTTATGTGGTTGAAACGGGCAGAACAAGCCAGACAGACAGTAGTACTTGTTCCTACTAGATAAAGAGAATAAATGCTCTAGAATCACTAATCTTGAGCTTTGGGATAGAGCTTGACAAATTCCAGTGAAGAAGATAGACTGGTTTTGTATAGGACCTACGTTGTGAAAACACAATGCTTTTTTATACTGGGGCAGGCAGAATCATGCAGATAAAAACCCACCCATAAAGGGGAGGGGGATTTGGGAGTGAAATTAAGAGATAGGGCGAGATACTTATGGCAGTATAGGATCATCTGATTATGGTCTGTTGGGTAATAAAGTGCAAGAGACACCTTTTGCGCAATGCGATACATCCTTGATTAGCTAGATAAAGGTGTCATGGCGTACCTTCGTGTCGTTGCCGACAAAACACCCACAGCAGCAGCCTACCAGTGAATAAAGGTGGGCGCAACTCCAATGGCCTTTGTCTAAAGATGTAAAGAAAGTTGAATAGAAAGACATTAAGTTTATCTACTTCTGGCCTTGCAGAAAGTACCTCACTCAATAATAGTGGCAGGTTGAGCATCCTTAAACAAATCCAAACTGGCATTAATTCTCCAAATAGAGTGGATTGACAGTATCCGGGAGTAGCCATGGCGTAGCGGCTAGACGCTCACGTGCGGATCGGAAGGTTTTGAGTACGCTCCACGGCGGAGCCGGACTTTTTTTTTTTAATGACCTTGACTCCCAGCCTTGAGCGAGTATCGGGTGCAGTCCCGGGAAGTAAAGGCGGCCAGTGTGATTCTGACCACTTCACCCAGAAGTGAAGAATCTTGTGCCGTTTGTTCTAAAAAAATAAGACTAGCCCTATACTGCACCAGATTGCAACGAACCGCCATGCATGGAGAGTCATGACCTCTGCCCTATGTGCCGCACTCGACACAAGAGGAAAGACTATACGCCTAAAGGCGTGGAAAAGGATCCTTTTTACTTTTCAAAGACGGTATCCAGAAGTTCCGCCTTAAGAAAGGCTGTACGCACTGGAACACGCCAGGCTAAAAGGGCAAAACAAAAAACTGACCCTCTCTGTCGTGGCATGTGGAGGGAAAAGTAGGGACAGTGCATTCATACCGTATGAGCTGTGTCCTAGAGACTTTGAGACATAGGAAGTCAGAGAAAACTAACCACATGTTGGAAATTAGTATTAAACGAGGACAAGCAAGTAGAAACCAGAATGTTAAATTAAGAATCGGCATCAGAGCACTCAAGACACTCCTATAAGCACTCTGTCTCCATCTTCAGCAGCAAGCGCAGAGTTAAAATTCCGATGGTACCAGTAACTGTCTGATTGTATGTCCGTCTCGCCTTTCCCCTGAGTGTCGAGCGTCGGCCAAATCCCCTTGTAACTCCTCGCAGTGCCATTCTCCTCAGACCGTAATGATATATCTGTGCCTCGGCACAGTTCACTCGCTCCCAAAGGGCCCTCACAACATCCAGCTTGTCATACATCAGTTCACCATCAAGTGGTGCAGAACCGGGCCAATCTATCTGCCTGTTAATTTCCCAACACACCGGCATACCTGGAGAAAATAATCAAAGGATGCTTACTACCCGGTTGTGGTGTAAAAAAAAGAAAATATGGCGATTATCTCCTGCTGGGTACGTTATGTCTGGAGACACTGAGATAGCTGTTGCATCGAAGGATGGAGCACAAATCGGTCGAATTGACGTGCTAGGATGTTTATATGGACAATAAATAGCCTAACAAGTAGCTAAGGGTTACAATGCTACATATGGCAACAAATGTCTCTTTGTTTCTTCTGCCTCCCCTCTCCTCCAGTTTTCCCATTGTCACAACGTACTCAAGTTTTCTCTGTGACAACAAAAAATAGATTGCTTATAATGCAAGAAATCAGTTCGCTTCCAGGGGTAGTTACTTTTTAAGTTTTTACACTTTTGAAGGGGGGAAAGGGGAAATTACAAAAGTTAAGCTGGCCGAGTTGTATTTTCAAATCTGGCAAATCGGAAATGACTCAGGTTTCTACGGACGCGATGACAACACGATTTCTCGATAACAACAATGATGGTACTGGAGCCGGCTGCTTTTACGCTTCACCGTTATAGATAGGGCCGTGGATTTTCACGTGATTGCCTTTACACATAGAAAGCTCTATATTCATTATGACGGACACACCAACAGCACAAACAATAACAATACCATTATTCACACCAAAAGTCTGCATCAGGAGAAGATCTACATATGTAACAGAACAGCCGAAAAGGAGAAGAGCTTTCTCTTTGCAGAGGAAATCTTGCGTCCATCCATGGGCAGTGAGTATTGTATCTGTATTTCTTATTTTTCTTCTTCTCCTCCTCCTTCTTCTTCTTCTTTCTTCTTCTTCTTCTTCTTCTTCTTCTTCTCCTTCTTCTTCTTCTTCCTTCTTCTTCTTCTTTTTCTTCTTCTTCTTCTTCTTCTTCTTCTTCTTCTTCTTCTTCTTCTTCTTCTTCTTCTTCTTCTTCTTCTTCTTCTTCTTCTTCTTCTTCTTCTTCTTCTTCCTCCTCTCCTTCTTCTTCTTCTTCTTTTCTTCTTCGTCTTCTTCTTCTCCTTCTTCTTCTCCTTCTTCTCCTCCTCCTCCTCCTCCTCCTCCTTTTCATTCTTAGTCTGCCTATATATAGTGCGTTTATGTTTATTCTCCGATTTCGTTCGATCTGTACAATCTTGTAGATGTCATGGATGGAATTCAGTCCAGGCTCTTCCTTCTCACTCAATAATTTTCTTCGCAGTGTTTCTCTGGGACTTCCTCATTACACCCTATGCATTTGTATCCGATTTCAGTGCCTGTCTGTTGATTCTCCGCCAGCTTCTCGTCAAGATTTCCACTGACAGTTGTATGTCATTTTTTACAACGGTCAACGTCCTCCACATCCCCTGAGCCAGATAACTTGTAAACAATTACAAACTGATTCTGTTGTTTTACAGAATCGGGAAGATCCAAGTGATGCTTATGAATTACCAGCATCGCAGAGAGAAATTTGGTGGAGAAAGGAAGTGAAAGTAAGAAGGATTTTATACATCTTTGTTGGTTTCATTTGGGTTTTAAAGACTAAAATGTTTGTTTTAATTTATTTTTTTTTTAGTCAATCTTTATTATTTTGAACCAGTTTATTAAATCACCACTGATAACTGGCATCACGAGAACTAATAGACTGAAATCGTTAGGGCATACTGAAAGAATGTCGGATGACAGAGAAGTAGAAACTGTATACACGAGGGAAATAAATGGTCGTAGACCATGAGGCAGACCAAGAAGACGACGGAGAGATAATATCCAGACAGACCTGCAAACACTTGGTGTCACCAACTGGAAAGAGAAGGCCAGCCAGAGAGATGAATGGAGGTTTCTTTACATTCCTTTTTTTTTTTTTTTTAAATTTTTTTTCTTTTTTTAACATTGTGTTTTTCTTTGTTTTTCCTGCAGCGTTTTAAGACGTTGCATCTGCTTTTTTTTTTTTTTTTTTTTTTTTTTTTTTAATGATTTCTACCTAATAGTTGCAATAGTGTTCTATATAAACACTTGTGTGATAATGTTGACAACCCTTCTCCAAAACAAAAACAAAAACTAATGAGATATGCAAGGTATTCATGAGTATCTTTTTAGTATCACCTTTTATGTTTCTGGTGCCTTTGCCTTGACCACGAGTAGTCTGGCTGTAGATAACGGCAGTGGCCAAAAGCAGTAACAGCTGGAGAGACATGTTTTCTCAGTGACTCAATGAATATGCTCAGGGAAATAGAGTTGGGCCGGTTACGACTTCGGTGGTTGATGACCCTAGGGCAGTCGGGGGCTGACAGTAATCCTAACAGGGCAGTCATTTTAGAGTGCAAGGAAATGAAGAATCTGATGAGCTTGCAGGTAAGGCTACAGTGAAGGGCAGATGTGCCATGAACCAGGCGACGATACCGAATGCTCTACGAGAAGTAAGATTTGTGCGAGAACCGAGTGACGGTGAATCTGCAGGCATGACCAGACAGCAAAAAACAAGTTAAAATGGGTTTGTACAGACGAACCTCTAGAGATCTCTGTTAAAATTACGCCAGGAAACCACACGACCCGGTCGAATAAGCTAACGACATTCAAAACGCGTTACAAAAAAACTTGATGACAACTTCGTCCTAAATAGAATATCATGTGAAGAAGAACTTGAAAATTCCATCTTCTTCTTCTTCTTCTTCTTCTTCTTCTTCTTCTTCTTCTTCTTCTTCTTCTTCTTCTTCTTCTTCTTCTTCTTCTTCTTCTTGGCGTTCTTCGGCTATAAACTCAAGCGGAAAGTTCTGGTCGTTCGTCCATTTCCCGATTTTGGTCTGGCTCCAGAACTTCATTTTTGCGTGCACATCAATTTTACAGATCTGTCTTATTTGTATGCAGATTGTCGGTTCATCACCTCTCAAGCAGAGGCACTCCGACTGTAAAGGAAACAGACATAATTAGTCGCATTTACGTCATGTTTGTTAGTGGAGAGTGGAGGAAGAACAGTGGTTCCATTTTTTTTTAAACCACAAAATAGGTCTCGTAAACCCACAAGGGGGAATACTCAGCTGATGATCTCACCTTTTTCATTTTTGTTTAAATTCCCTTTGTGGATTCTGGGGCTCTCATGGGGGAACTGGGGGTGCAGGGTGTGAGAATAGTCCAACTGTAACTTAACATACATATCGTAGAAAAGCCTTCTGAAATTTGATGTGTTGTCCGAAGGGCGCAGATATCACAGCCTGGCTGTAAACCACAACACGACGCGCCAACCACCCTTTTAAGGATGGGTGCAGAAGAAATTTTCTTAAAAGGTAATACTGTTATGTTCTGAAAACCAAATAAAAACTGCCACGCTAACTGTTCAGGTAAAACAAAAGATACCCCCCTCCCCTGACCACCGCCCTCCCCAATTTTACACACCGGTACACACACTAGCTCGCTTCTGATTGGTCGATCTTCAGCCCACCTCACTCCTGATTGGTCGGCCTCGATCTATCCGACTTTCACACAAGGTGACGGGGGTGTTCCGCAACGCAGTCGATATCGCATATTGTTTATTTAACCATGCCAGAGCTTTTAACACTCCAAAAACATTTAGAGACTGGGTCTAACACACAACCACCCTAGAGAGTGATGACACCTATGTCACAGGCAATCTCTTTCTCGTAATAAAAACATAAATGCAACACAACAACATACCGCCACACCCATAACCTCGACCACGGTAGACTAGTCCAACCAACTTATTAATGAAATTGACCTACTTTTCGTGGGGAGACTAACGTTTGTATAACCATTGTTCATTAACTTTCAGGTCACTCCTATTCCTGGGGCCTACGATGAAATAGATTTCATACAGGAGTTGGTCAAAAAGCCCAACACGTACAACTTTAAGGCACTAAGCAGAAACCAGTGTAAAGGTCATGCTGGGACCGGAACATACCTAATGCCCGGGAGTTATGAATATCAAGATTTTCTTCAGATGTAAGTTTTCGGTGCTGTTCACGATAATCGTGACGTTTAAATTAGGTTATGCACTGCGCGCGGTTTCATTCATAAATCATTTGACTGCTCGGGGCGTAGTGGTGTGACATAATTCTGAATTATTTCTGGGACACCGACAACATGCGATTTTGCAGCCTATTGCTGTTCATTGCGCCGTTCTGTGAGCAACACATTGACCGATGTTGCGTGTCGCTGTTCATTGCGCCGTTCCGTGAGATGTCCCGGACGGAATAGACTCACACCAATGTGACCGAGAAGAGTCCACGAAGCTATTAATGAAAGGTCAACATCAAGGTTACCGTGAACAGCATCGAGTCAGTCAGTCATGAAGTGGCATCATCATGGGGGATCCGGGGCTCCATTTTGGGGCACAAGGAATAGACCCTCTGCCCTCTCCGTCCAACAAACTTGTTGTAGGAGGCGACAAATTAGGGGTGTTTCCTACAAAGTTGAGTGCATTTGCGTGACAGGTCAGAAACCAACAGTCTGCACACACAAAAAGCTGGATCTGTAAAATGAATGTGCCCGAAAACTCAGGTTCTGGATTCAAACCAGCCCAGGAGGGAACGCCAAAAACCAGAACTATTCGCCAGAGTTTGTAGCCCGTAAGAACTAAGAAGAAGATCAAATGAGAGATAGTGTTAAGAGAATGAGTAATAAAGTGCCTAAGGAAAAAAAAACTTGCGCAATCACGTAGATCCTTTCACTTTAAACTTATCTGTAATAAATCAAAGCGATGTTTTCCCGTTGTGAATTTGAACAAAGATGACACAAACAATAGATTGCACAATTTATTGCTTGGCAAATTTATTTAAAAGTAAAGTAAAGGTCCCTTTTCCATGCCTTTAGGCGTATAGGGCTAGACCTATCTTTTATAGACCAATCGGCACAAGATGGGTGATGTGGTCAGCATCACGCCGGCTGCCTTTACTTTCCGGGACTGCACCCGGTACCCACTCAAGGCTGGGTCGACCTGAGAGCCAAGGTCTTTTTTCAAAATAGCCCGGCTCCTTCAGGAAGCGAGCCCACGACCTTCGGTATATTTATTGCGTGGCATATTTCTCTGTAAACTCCGCTAAGACCGGTCCCAAGCCCGGCTGTAAAGGGAGGAGGGTCTGGCTGAACCTGAGTGCTTCATGCGTCTCCGGAAGTAGTGGGTAACCGTGAATCAACCAGACGGCCTGCATGGAGGCCGCAAGGAGGCAGCTCCTCCACCATGCAAAGACACAACAGGCCAATCACTTGTTTGCCTTAAAATATGATTACAAGTAACTACAGAGAGAAAACCGGACGAATCTTAACGGCGACGAACTGGCATGGCTTACGGACTACGATTTATGGAACATGGAACATAAGAGGCATTAACGGGAAGGAAAAGGAGTTAGTAGGGGAGATGAGGAAAGCGAAATTAGGAGTCTTGGCTCTGACTGAAACCAAGAAAAAGGGGCAAGGAATCACAGATCATGATGGAAGTATGCTGCTCTACAGTGGTGTCCCTATGACGGAGAGAGCTAAGGGAGGTGTTGGCTGTATTGTGGCCAGGAACCAAGTTAGTAACATCAAGGGATGGAAATTCATCTCGGAGCGAATTATGGTGTTAGATCTGAAAGAAGAAGACAAAATTATCAATATTGTTATTGTGTACGGGCCAAATGAAGATGAGCGAGTTGATGTTAAAGAAGAATTCTTTGAACTGCTCCAAAGGAAGATAGATGACGGTCACGATGAAATTATCCTCCTAGGAGATCTAAATGCCAGAGTAGGAAATGATCACTCTAGATGGGGTGGAGTGATCGGGAGATATGGTGAAAATGTTTTGAATGATAATGGCAAGCGACTTCTCAGATTCTGCAGGGAACAGAACCTTGTCATTAAAAACACAAAATTCCCCCACAAGCGTATACATGCATACACAAGATGTGAACCTTCAAAGAATGAAAAATCTATTATTGACTATGCCATAGTTAGGAAAAGTTCATTCAAGTTTGTTAGAGATGACAGAGTCATGAGAGGACCAGAGATTGGAAGTGACCACTATCTGGTCACAATAAAGGGAACAACTGAAAGAACTGCTCCAACAAGGCAACACCGACAACCATGCAAGAAACCAAGCAACCAAGAAGGGGTGAGGATTAAGGCATACAGGCTAAGAGAGCCAGATATTAGGGCTAGATACCAGGAGCTTATAATGAAAGCAATAGGAACTGAAGCAGAACCATTAGAGAACACTGAAACCCTCTGGTGCAGATTCAAGAATATCCTCACAGCAGCTGCAGTAGAAGCATGCAGTAACGTCCCAAGTGGAAGGCGGGGACATAGGACACCTTGGTGGACAGAAGAAGTCAAACTGAAAATAGGAGAAAAGAAAAGGGCATGGAAGCAATACCTGGCAGCCAGGAACACAGCTGAAGAAATAGAGAAATATAAACAATATGTGGCACTCAGAACAGAGACCAAAAATATTGTGCTTAAAGCAAAACAGAAATCATGGGAAGAGTTTGGAGAAAAAGTTGGAAAAGAATGCAAGAGAAAATCAAAAACTGTTGAACAAGACCATGAAGAACATGAGGAGGGAGAAAGAGTGCCCACTGAAATTCATAAAAGAAGACAAGGAAGGGGCTCTGCTTACTTCTACAGATAATATCATGGGCAGATGGAAAGAATACTTCTCAGAGCCTTGGCGTTGAGGGAAGTCATGACCCAGAAATAATGGACCTCATTGCTGAGAAGGAAATTATCCATGAGGATGATAACATCCCGATGGTAGAGTTGAAGGCAGCTATTGAGAAGATTAGGCTGGGAAAAGCAGCAGATCATGATGGTATAACACCAGAGATGGTCAAATATATGGGTGTCGCAGGTGAGCTCCTTCTACTGAAGGTTCTGCAGGCAGCCTGTTGTAGTAAAACTATACCAAAAGATTGGGAGATTGCCATCATTATACCTATATTTAAAAAAGGTGATAACAGACAATGTGAAAACCACAGAGGCATATCCCTTCTCAGCGTTCCTGGTAAAAGTTACTCTAGAATTCTCGAGCAGAGACTTAGAAGTCAGGTAGATCCACAGCTGGACGAGGCCCAATGTGGCTTCAGAGCAAACCGAAGTACTCAAGACCTTATCTTCACACTGAGACAGATGAGTGAAAAAGTCCTTAAATATAAGAGTGAAATGCACCTATGTTTTTTTATCTGGAAAAGGCATTTGACAAAGTACCCTGGAACAAGCTCTGGGGCTGCTTGGCGGGGGAAAACATTCCAGCAACCCTGATCAGTGCAATACAGAGTTTCTACAAAAGCTGCAGAAATTATGTAAGAACAGATAGCTAAATCAGAGGCACACCTTCAGTCCAACTTACTTGTCTGGAAGGAAGAGCTTGAAAAGAGAGGGATGACCATCAGTATCTCCAAAATTAAAACCACGGTGATCTCAAGAGAGGAGAAGAAACACCAGATCATGATGGGACAGTATGCATTGGAGCAGGTTAACCAGTTCAAATACCTTGGAGTTGTATTAGACCGAAATGGAGGCATTAAGACTGAACTGGCTGCACGAAAAGCAGCTGCTGGGAGACTCTTCCAGGCCATAAACCGAGGGTTTCTTAGCAAAAGAGAAATTGGCAAGAGGACGAAAATGGCTGTTTACCGCTCTACCTAGGTACCGGTCCTGACCTATGGGTGTGAGTCATAGGCAATGACAACAGCTCACAGAAGCCAGCTGCAGGCCTCGGAAATTAGATATCTGAGAAAGGTGGTCCAAGTGACAAGAAGGGACAAAGTCCGCAATCAGACAATAAGTGAAGATCTTGATACCCAGTCCTTACAAACCCGAGTGGATCAGTCACAGTTACGATAGTTTGGACATGTATGCAGAATGGGAGAAAATCGGCCACCATGACAGGCATGGGAGGCTAAGAACCAGGGAACCAGACCTCCAGGACGACCCAGTGTGCGCTGGAAAGACAACATCCGACAGTCCCTAACTGACAGACGACTGGAATGGAACAAAGCCATAAAGTAAACTGCTGATTGAGACGTCTGGCGATCTCTCTGGTAAACCTCTACACCCCAAGGTAGAAGAGGAGCGACTAAGTAAGTAAGTAAGTAAGTATATTTCTCTGTATCTCGTCAGGTGCCTATTTCAGTAACTGTTTATTAAAATGAAGCAAACAATACATCTTTGGAACATGGAACATGTTTTGACCACTGGAAAGATCTGTGGAAGGAGTGATTGAGGAAGACAACGAGAGAAGATGCTTGACAGTCTTGTTGCATGGCATGGAGGTGTGTCAGCACACGAACTGATACATGCTGCAGGAGATCGCGGATTGTGGAGAGGCATGATCGCCCACGCCAGTCGGCAAGGCACCTGATGATGATGAACTAAAACACAAAATCGACATCATTCAAAAACGTATTTGCTTGATTTTAATCAGTTGTTATTGTAATATGCACCTGACGAGATACAGCGAAATACGCAAGGGAATACATTGTGCAATCTATTGTTTGTGTTCTCTTTATCTGTAATTTGTAAGTAAATAAACGTAAAGATCCCTTTCCACGCCTTAGGCGCATCGGGCATATGGGAAGAGCGTCCAATATTTTTACAGACCAATCGGTACTAGGTGGGTAATGTGGTCAGCATTACGCCGGCCGTCTTTACTTCACAAGGACAGCCACCCTGGTACCCATTTTAGACTGGGTCGACCTGCGACGCCCCATACCATGATAAAAATCCAAGCAGCCAGCCATGGGTTTCGATCGCGGTATGTTGGAATTACGAGTCGGACTCGCAACGCCTAAGCCACAGACACTGCAAGGTTATTTTTGAGGGAATGTTAAATGTTGAATTAGGAATCGACATCACAGCACACAGGACACTACCATAACCGCTTCGACCCCCATCTTCAGCAGCAAGCGAAGAGTTCTTCCAGTTCCGATGGCACAGTAACTGTCTGACTGTTTATCCGCCTCTTCCTTCCCATGAGTGTTGAGCGTCAGCCAGATCCCCTGGTAACTCCTCGCAGCGCCATTCTCCGAAGTCGGGCTCCATAACCACGCTACATCGGAAGGTGCTGCACTTTTTTCTTTTCCTTAAAAAAGACTTTTTCTCCCAGGTCGACCCAGCCTTATTTGGGTACCAGGTAAACGTCCTGGGAAGTAAAGGCGACCGGCATTATGCTGACCACATCACCCATCAAGTGCCGACTGTTCTATCAAGTGTAGGTCTAGCCCTTTATATGTTCAAATGTATTACGGACGGCGTAGTAAAGTTTCTTTTACTTACTACACCACGTCGGCTCCCCAAACAGAACTCAGTCTTCAATGCAAGGTTGTCAACGCTTTCGGTAACGAATGAATTACTATGCGGAAAGAAACAAAACTCTTCAGATGCAAAATCTGCGTCTGTCGCCTAGGCGTTGCGAACGCGCTTCGTAATGCCGGGGTGCTCTGTTCGATCCCAGCAGCGGGTCTTGCATTTGTTTTGACAGTGTTATTGTCCAGAAAGCAATGGCAAACTTCTGGACATAAATTTGCCTAGAAAAACTACAACAGCCCCAAAAATGCTTCACTGTAAACTTATATGTAATCGGATTTTAACTAAAAGCTGATAGCCTAACGTTATAAGTTAACGATGTGAAATGTTTAACATTAAATTGACAATGATGAACAGTTTGTCTAAGAAACCGGCTACATACAGCTTTAAGACCAGTGAACGATTTGCCCAGGATGTCCTCAATTTTGGACTTAAGGACAAGGTAAGTTGAATAGTTATTTTTTCCGTGAAAATATGTGTGTGTGTTTTTTCCCTAGTTTCACCATCCTGTTCTAACGCTTTCTTTCTTGGCTGCACCATCTAATTTGCATGTTTTTGCTGCACCATCTCATTCTAATGTTGTATCTTTACTGAACCATTTCATTCTAATGTCCCATCTTTATCACACCATCTCATTCTGATGTCCCATCTTTATCACACCATCTTATTCTAATGTCCCTTCTTTATCACACCATCTCATTTTAATGTCCATTTTTTATCACACCATCTCATTCTTTGTGTGCGCCCTCCCTCTTTTCCTCACCCACTTTGCTCTCCAATGGAAAAATTGATATGTTCGAAAGTTTGTTTAATTTTGGATGCGATGTTCGTAAAGTCCTTTTTTGTGCCCCCTTCCCCATTCGGCAAAAAATGTAAATTTTGAAGCAATTATCCAAATATCACTGTTACAAATGTTGGAAAAATTGAAGCAAAAATGTTAATAAAATGAGTGGCCCTGTCTATCTTCCTTTCCGGCACCTCATCCCTTTCCCGCCCCTGTCCGCCTGCTGTGTGGTTGTGTCCTTTTCTGTTCTCTGGTGTTAGTATACAGGTTCGTAAAGTCCCTTTGTGTCCCCTCCTCCTACATAAACTGCTTGAAATGTAAAATATCCAATGTTTCACCCTTTCACAACATTTGATGCTGACCGAAAGGCAATATAAATAAAATGAGTGGCCCTGTCTATCTTGTCCGTCTCCTCCCTCTCACCCGTTCCACGCCCTGTCCGCCTGCTATGTTTTCGTGCCCCCTCTTGCCTCTTTGTTTATATGTTCGCAGTCACGCATACACATGCAACATAAATACAAACACGAAGCAACGCTCTGTAAATATTACTGCACAAAGATACGCACACCGCAGACGCTTGTAAATATAACACGTACAATACAGTTGACACGCATTTATTGTATACAGACGTTTTACAGACAAATAAACTTATTGAACTTAAAAAAAAAAAAAACCATCTCATTCTAATGTCACTTCTATATCGCACCATCTAATTCTAATGTCCCTTTTTTATCGCACCATCACATTCTATTGTCCCTTCTTATCACACCATCTCATTCTAATGTCCCTTCTTTATCGCACCAACTCATTCTAATGTCTCTTCTTTATCACACCATTTCATTCTAATGTCCCTTCTTTATCGCACCATCTCATTCTAATGTCCCTTCTCTATCGCACCATCTCATTCTAATGTCCCTTCTTTATCACACCATCACATTATAATGTCCCTTCTTTATCGCACCATCACATTATAATGTCCCTTCTTTATCGCACCATCACATTATAATGTCCCTTCTTTATCACACCATCACATTATTATGTCCCTTTTTTATCGCACCATCACATTATTATGCTTGCTACACCACTATAGCAAACAGGTTTTTTTTATTTATTTTTTTCAACTTGCATCTCATGTTTTTTGTACCTTATTCTATCATTAAACCTGCGTGTTAATAAATTGATGAAGATAATCATCACTTTTATAAATTACCACTTCTGTTAATAAGCGGGCATCGGGAGGAACAGTTTGTGATCCATTGTTTGACTGTAGTCACCAGTATAAGCTAAAACAAGCTACAGCTTAGAGCAGTGGTTCTCACTATATGGATCGCGACCCTTTATTTTGGGTCAAACGACCCTTTCACAGACCATCGCACAACACATATTGATTGAAGTTATGAAGTAGCTTCGATAATAATGGTATGGTTGGAGGGGTCGCCACAACATTAGGAACTTTATTAAAGGGTCCCGGCATTCGGAAGATTGAGAACCACTGGTTTAGAGTTTCACAATCTGCAGTATCCTAATAATAACCGATCATAATTTTTTTTTCATAATTGCAGTTTTCATTATATATATATTATATATATAATATATATATATATATAATATATATATATATATATATATATATATATATCAATCATGTAGCAGATCCTTTGCAGAACGTCGCTCTCATCACAGTCTGCCTGAAAGAAACTCGGTCTCTCGCCAGTTCTCCCGCTTCATGCACTTTCACACTCAAGGAATCACTTATATCCTGTGCCCATCTTCGTGTCGGTCGGCCCCTGCCTCTCCTTCCTGGTATCATGCCTTCTGCTATAATTTTTTCCAATCCGTCGTGGCGCTTGATATGACCAAAATATTTCAACTTTCAAGAAAGGATGCTGTTTATTAGCCAATCTTCCTTGATGTTCAGATTTTCTAATATGTCAATATTTCTCATTTTCTTTGTCCAAGATATTCTGAGAATGTTTCTATAGCATTTCAGCTCAAAAGCCCCCATTCTCCTTTTTAAGGACTAGGAGATAGTCCACTACTCACATCCGTATGTAGCCACAGGGAAGATGCATGCTCTCAAAATTCTAATTTTTATCTCCTTGCTGGTGCTTAACCATAGACTTTTAAGGCTGTTCAATCTATGCATTGCTATGGCCATCCTCCTTTTAATTTCTGTCGAACAGTCTCCATTGTTGTTTATTATAGAGCCTAGATATTCAAAGTTTGTAAAATTTTCAATTTCTAAATCATTTATTGTTTTTTTTTTTTGGGTGACAGCTAGTTTTATCTGTGGACATTAATTTTGTTTTCTTCAAATTCAAGAACAGATTTTGATCTTCACTGTGCCTTTGGACAGACAATATTAAATTTTAAATTCCCTTTACGCTGTTCGAAAGGAGGACTGTGTCATCTGCGTAACGGAGTTCCGAAAAAGGGTTGCCACCAATTTTGAGCGGATCATAACTGTCACAAGTCTGGTCATTTTTGACATTTCTCATTATATTTTCTGCGTATATATTGAATAGGTATGGTGAGAGAATGCACCCCTGCCTCATCCCCTTTTGCACCTCGAACTAATCAGATGTTTCACCAGTTGCTCTGATGGCTGCTTGTTGTCCATAATAAAGATTTTCAATTAAATGCAATAAATGCACTGGAAACCCCATACTTTTCTTAATACTCCACAGTTTGTGGTGTTGGACACAATCAAACGCCTTGCTATAATCAATAAAACAAGCATAAAGATCTACGTTGTATTCTCTGCATTTTTCAAAAATTATTCTCATATTAAAGATGTGATCCCTGGTTCCTCTACCCGATCTGAAACCCGCATGTGCTTCACCTAGCTCATATTGTAATTTCCTTTCAATTCTTTTCATGATAATTCGTAAGAGGATTTTGCTAGCATGACTTATTAATGCGATGGTACAGTAGTAGGAGCATAGTTTTGGATTTCCTTTCTTTGGGAGAGGGGTATAGACTGTTCTTTTCCACGCTTTAGGCCAAATGCCACTGTTCCAGATCTTCGAGCACAATGCATGGTAGATTCGGACGCTGGCCTCTCCTCCTGCTTGAATTAGTTCTGCTAGTATTTCGTCGCAACCTGGTGACTTTCCTTTCTTCAGGCTGCGTATTGCTGATCTTACCTCATCCAGTAAAGGCTCTGGTTCTTTTTTATAACTTCAACAAGTCGATTTTGAATTACTTTTCACATCCTCAGAAGGCCTGAATTCGCATTTCAATGTTTTAATTTCTTTAAACATGTCTCTCTCTCTTCGTTGCATCTAGAGTTGTTCAATTCTATTACCTGTATTTATAATAAACTGTTTTTTTTTATCTTCTCTGATAGCTTTTCTGATTTCTTTCGTGTAGTTCCTATATGCATGGCTATATTTTCTGTCCCTACTTGCTTTAAATTTCTTCTTTCTTCTATCAGCTTGAAAGTTTTTTCTGTAATGTAAATCTGTTTCTTGTGTCGTTTTTTAGGAATCATGTTCTGAGCTGTTGTGATGAGGATGTTTCTTGTTTCATCAGCCAACTCATCAGGTGTCATATCCTCCTTCACTGCCATTAGTGCCTCAAATTTGTTTTCAACCTCAATGCTGTAATCATTTGGCAAATTACTCAAATCAAAACGTATTGGCTTAGCCCCTTTCAACACTTTTTTTCAGTTTTATTTTAAACTCTGCAATAAGAAGTTTGTGATCAGTGTCACAGTCAGCTCCAGGGAGTGTTTTTGCAGATGTTTTTCTTGTCCTCCAGTTTTGTTGTTTTAAAATATAATCAATTTGGTTCCTGCTATTTCCATCTGGTGAAGTCCAGGTGTAGAGCCTTGTTGGTCATCAACATATTCTTTTCTATATAGAATTCGATCAGTCTCTCCCTACTCTCGATTCTGTCTCCCATGCTGAATGGGCCTCTGACTATTTCCTCTTCCTCTATTCTACCTCGGCCAATGTTTGCATTAAAATCTCCCATGATGATTATAATATCTCTTTTTTTTCTACCCTTTTTAATGCCTCTTCTAAACTGTCATAAAAGTTTTGAATTTCATCTTCCTCTGATGCAGATGTTGGGGGCATAGACTTGAATAATTGTGATGTTTCTTTTCCTTGACTTAAGTCTGACAGTTATAATTCGGTCGCTGATAGGATTATATCCAAGAAGTGATGAAAAAACTTTTCTTGTCATCAGAAAACCCACACTATGATATTTTAAGTTCGGTAGTTTGCCACTGATATTGAACGTTTGGCTCTCCAAACTATTGTTGGAAGCAACGCATAGCTGCCTGCTGCCAAATCAACTGCAGCTGAATTAAACCAAGTATTTCAGTATTACAAACCATGTTCTTACTCCTGCGCCGCATACGCGGACCCAAAGGTGTCAGACAAATATAAATATCGAATATCAAAAAAGATCATATATATATATATATATATATAATATATATATATATATATATATATATATATATGTATGCCCGGCTCTCTAGCGTAGTTGGCTAAACCGGATTGCGTGGTGACCGGGTGACGAACTCCTTGTGGTCCAGGTTCACTCCCGGGGGTAGGCAGAAAAGCCACATTTCTCCCAGATTTACGGTATTTACAATGGAATCAAGGCCGAAAGGTTGCGATATCCATAATATCGAGCCTAAGGGTTGGCAACTCATGGCTTCTGGATACTAAAACATATATATATATATGAGGGCTGTACCGAATATTCGCTTCGGTGCCGAATAGTAGACCTAATAACTATTCGGTATTCGGACGAATAGTTGCTGTCGGACCGAATACGAATAGTGGTTACCTTACCCGTTCCTGGACTGGTAGAAATTAAACATATCAAGATTTCCCACCTTGGTTCATACTGTCCAGCATTATCTCTGTGCACCACCTACGAGCGTACCAAGTGAACGTCTGTTTAGTAAATCTGGAAATACCTTCAGCGAGACAAGAAGCTAACAACTAATGCTGCTTTCACGGATTAATTAAGCTGTCAGTGACAATTTACAAGTTTAGTTACTTGTTATTAAACTAAGAATACTTTCACTCCTATGTATTAGTTACCACAGACTGACTGACTGAAGAATGCAAAACGTGAAATGTATTTAAATGTTTACTATTCTGTACTACATTTTGTGAAGTAAAATGTTAGCGTACATTTGACATTATGGATGTTTTCTTTTTAGATCTATTTTATACACAAAAGTGGAAGAATGGGCCTCAGTTTGAATAGTGGGAAGACAGAAGTAATTGTGGTATCAAAGAAAATAATTACTCCTAAATGTGTAATGAAAGTCAATGGTTTTATTTTGGGACAAGTACGGAAATTTAAGTAGCCTATCAGGGCACATGGATAACATCAGATGGAAGATGCATTACTGAAATAAGAAACAGAACAGGACAGGCAAAAACTGCATTTTATAAAATGAAGAACGTCTTATGCAATATATCTTTGTCATTGACGGTTAGAAAAAGAATGATGCATTACTGAAATAAGAAACAGAACAGGACAGGCAAAAACTGCATTTTATAAAATGAAGAACGTCTTATACAATATATCTTTGTCATTGAAGGTTAGAAAAAGAATTCTTGCTTGCTACATACATCCAGTGTTAACATATGGCTGTAAGTCCTGGACAATCGGTAGGCAGGCCAAACAATTTCTTGAAACCTCAGAGATGTGTTATTACAGAACAATGCTCAAAATATCCTGCATGGTGAACGAACATCGAACTAGGCCGAGCGGTGCTTACTACGGCAAGACCAGTGAACAACATCGAACTAGGGCAAGCGGTGCTCACTACGGCAAGACCAGTGAACAACATCGAACTAGGGCAAGCGGTGCTCACTACGGCAAGACCAGTGAACAACATCGAACTAGGGCAAGCGGTGCTCATTACAAGAAGACTAGTGAACGAACATCGAACTAGGGCGAGCGGTGCTCTCTACAAGAAGACTGGTGAACGAACATCGAACTGGGGCGAGCGGTGCTCTCTACAAGAAGACTGGTGAACGAACATCGAACTGGGGCGAGCGGTGCTCTCTACAAGAAGACTGGTGAACGAACATCGAACTGGGGCGTTCAGTGCTCACTACGAGAAGACTAGTGAACGAACATCGAACTAGGGCCTTCAGTGCTCACTACAAGAAGATTGGTGTACCGGCAGTGAACTGGGGCGAGCAGTGCTCATTATAAAAAGACTTGTAAACCGCCAATGAACTCGGACGAGCAGTGCTCACTACAAGAAGACTGGTGTATAGGCAATGAACTGGGGCAAGCCTCACAACAAGAAGACTTGTGAACCGCCAATGAACTCGGACGAACAGTGCTCACTACAAGAAGACTGGTGAACCTACATCGAAGTGGGGCCGGCAGTGTTTACTACAAGAAGACTGGTGAACGAACATCAAACTGGTGCAAGCGGTGTTCGCTACAAGAAGACTGGTGAACGAACATCGAACTAGGGCGAGCGGTGCTCACTACAAGAAGACTGGTGAACCTACATCGAACTGAGGCGAGCGGTGCTCACAAGAAGACTGGTGAACGAACATCGAACTAGGGCGAGCGGTGCTCACTACAAGAAGACTGGTGAACCTACATCGAACTGGGGCGAGCGGTGCTCACTACAAGAAGACTGGTGAACGAACATCGAACTGGGGCGAGCGGTGCTCATTACAAGAAGACTGGTGAACGAACATCGAACCGGGGCGAGCGGTGCTTACTACAAGAAGGCTGGTAAACCAGCAATGAACTGGGTCGGGCAGTGCTCACTACAAGAAGACTAGTGAACGAACATCGAACCGAGGCGAGCGGTGCTCAGAGATGTGGTATTACAGAAAAATGCTTAAAATACCCTGGGCAGCAACAACAACAACAAAAAAAAAGCAACTAAGAAGTTTTGATAGAGGCGGGAGCCCTAAGACAACTCCTCACAGACATCAGAAGGAAACAGTCATCATTTTTCGGCCATGTTATAAGATGAGGGAAAATGGAACATGTGGTGACCACTGGAAAGATCTGTGGAAGGAGGGATAGAGGAAGAGAAGATTCTTGACAGTCTTGTTGCATGGCATGGAGGTGTGTCAGCACACGAACTAATACATGCTGCAGGAGATCGCAGATTGTGGCGAGGCATAATCGCCCATACTAGTCGGCAAAGCACCTGATGATGATGATTCACTATTCGTATTCGGCCGAATAATTGGTCTAGCTATTCGTATTAGGCCGAATAGTGAAAATCACTATCCGGTACAGCCCTAATTTATATATATATATATATATATATATATATATATATATATATATATATATATATTATATATATATATCTATATATATATATATATCACAATTATAAAAGACAAGTAACCTACACGGAAAAAACAATCTTCTAAAAACATTACACTTCACGTCTTGTTACAGATTAATTGTATGTCTCACAATGTAACTTTGTTGTCTGGTTTGTAGTACATTGATGTGCCACCTAATGCGTACAGTACTCAGAACTATTTGGCTATTGATGGTGAAAAATGCCCCGTCAAGTAAGTGTTTAAGTTAAACATGATACATTCTCTGAGATTTCACAATATGGTCAAACAAATTAACACTCGGGAAAAATTACCCACCGAATTTTAGAACAATACCCATCGTTAAATTTATTGCGACACATAGACTGAAATGGTTCTGCTACCTGGTGGCACAAAACTGCATTTGACTAAACGAAGGAGATAAAGTTAAACAAGACGATTAATTGAGATTTCAGGATTTGGTTAAACAGGACGGCTTCACTGCGACTTCGTTATATGATTAAAGAGACACATTTAAAAAAAAAAAGTAAAGGACCTTTTTTCAGGAGTATAGAGCATATAGGGCTAGACCTATATTTTATATTTATAGACCAATCGCACAAGATGGCTGATGGGGTTAGCATCACGCCGGCCGCCTTTACTTCCCGGGGCAGCACCCAGTACCAAAACACACATTTACCGAGAGTTAATGTTGTGGTTAAACACGACACACTCAATAAGATTTTATTATATGGCTGAATAGTTAGCATCTGACTAGACAGATGATGCAGACAAAGAAGACCCGCTGCTGTGGAAGCAAAAGTGCAGGCCTTGACTTTTGAGAATTATCTAGACAGGGACACTGTCATTTACACAGGTCAGTGGTGGTTCGCCGCGTGAGAAGCTCGTGGGCTTTTACAGCACAGGTTGGATTTAGAATTGGGAAGCAAGATTCTGATGCTTTTGCCTTCACTTCTGACTATGACGGTCACGGCCGTGTCCAAAGCAACAACATGGCTGGAGACGCAAACCTTTTCCCGCGTGTGTTTTTCAGTTACTCAGTGAGTACGCCTAGTAAGATAGAGATAGACTGGGTCCGAAGACACTGGTCGGGGCTGATACAGATCAGTTTCATATTTGTGCCAGGGCACTGAGACGTGCAGGGAAGTGAGCAAGGTGATAGGCTTGCGGCAAAGCTGCTGTGGAGGGTCTGCGTGCCATGGACCAGGCTGATGTATTGAATAACCTGCGAGAAGTAAGACTTCTGCGAGAACCCAGTGATGACTGAATCTGCAACTATGGCTAGACTGCAAGAACAGCGTATTGAGAGTGGTGTGCCCAGCCAGACAAGAGCACTGTACGGGAAGCCAAAGAAGAACAAGCAAGCAAAACAGGATTGGTATAGTCAGCGGCTACACAACAGCTGGTTAAACCTGACTGCGCAGCGACCGAGTCACGAAGTCCTTGTGGTTCGGGTTCACGCCCGTGGGTAGGAAGAAAAGCCATATTTCTCCCAGATTTACGGTATCACTGACTCAAGACCGAAGGGTTGCGATATTGATAGAACCGAGCCAAAGTGTTAACAGCTCATGGTTTCTGGACATTTAAAGAAAAGGGGACTGAATGGATTGACGTGCAATGAGAATAATTTGTAAAATAAAATATGGTTGAGTTTGTGGTTGTGTCTGACACAAATGGTTTAAATAAACAAGTAATCGCTGGCACATAAATCAAGATACCGTGTGTGTATTTGTTCAAGTTATATAAAAGCACATGGTATTTTGTGGCTTAGGCTATAAAAAGCACAACAGGCCCCCCGAAAAATACTAGGGTTGGTTCTGTGACGTTCTGTAAAGGATACGCAACTAACTAACATGGTATTTGTCCCTAAATCCTTGAGAAGATTAGAAGACTGAAAGAAAGAGAGAGAGAGGGAGAGAGAGAGAGAGAGAGAGAGAGAGAGAGAGAGAGAGAGAGAGAGGGAGAGAGAGAGAGGGGGGGGGAGAATAAAAAACACAAAGAAGGTAGAGAAAAAGAAAGAAAGGACGATTGGCAGAAAGCAAGTACATATCAGTAACAAATTACAACATTAATTGTACATTCTTTTTAAAAATGCCAAATTTCTCTCAATTAGAAATTCCATGTTTCGATCCCAGAGCAGGAGGTTCTCGTATCTGCTAGGAAACGTGAGTCATTCGTCTGCATATTATTTAAACATCTCACGTGTTGGCAGTTTCTCTGTCACACAGTGTCTTTTTCTTTTTGCTTTCGCAGTGTCCCCCCCCCCCCCCCCCCCCCATTTGCCCCCAACGCCTCCCTCCCCACACACACACAGTTTCCTTTTCCCCCTACACAATCACACCCCCTCCCTTTTTGTTACGGTTCCCCCCCCCCCCCCCCCCCCCCATGCAGTTTCCCCTTTCCTCAATGAGTTTTCCTTTCCACCCTCACAGTTTCCCTTTCCACGTCACAGTTTTCCTTTCCACCATCACAGTTTCCCTTTGCAGCCTCACAGTTTCCCTCTCCTTCCTCAGTTTCCCTTTCCACCCTCAAGTTTCCCTTCGCACCCTCACAGTTTATCTTTCCGCCTGCGTGGTCAGTTTACCTTACCCCTCCCCCTTCACACAGTTCTCTCTTTTCTCCCGCACACTGTTTCCCTTTTCCCCTTCATATAGCTCCCACTTTCCTCCCTCATACAGTTTCCCCTTCCTCATTTACAATTTCTCATTACCTCTTCCCACACTTCCCTTTCCTCCTTCTTATTGTGTCCTTTCTACTCGTTCAGTCTCCTTTTCCCCCTTCCCCTAATTTTCTCTTTCCTCCTTCTCACAATCTCCTTCACTCCTTTTCAGTGTTCCTTTATCATTCACACAGTTTCACTTGGTGTCTGAAGAATGCTTCTGTAAAATCACATCTCTGGGGCCTCTAGAAAATGTTTGGCTTGTTGATTAAATGTCCAGGATTTCCAGCCATACATTTCTTCTTCTTCTCGTTCACCGGCTGTGAATTCCGGCGTAAGGTCCCGGTAGTTCGTCCGTTTGGACTTTTGGCTTTTACCTGGACCTGAGTTGTGCGTGTACATCCGTTTTACTGGCTTATTTGTTTGCCGTTCCCTGCCTCACGGGCAGATGTACTTCGACTCTAGGGTGAATGTGGCCATTATTTTTAGTGGGTCAAGATGTTGCCTTATTTGTGTGGTGTCCTTTTTGTTCATTTTAACTACAGGTGTGGCCCCGGAGTACCCTTTTTAGGGCAGCCCTATGTAGAACGGTCAGCCCTCGAGGGAAGGCAGGGGCAGATCATGGGCATTCCACGCCATCCAGGAGGCTTCCATAAATGCAGAGCCAACACATGAAGCTCTAATTCTGGGCTCACCCAAGGAATCGTCACGTCCTGCACATGACTGCTTAACCTCACAACCGTATATTGAGCTTCCAGTTGGACACAGGCTGCGTCCTCTAGAGATCAGCGGGCAGCAGCCCGCACGTCCAGGACTTTTCTGATCACACGGATAGGTAAATACCTCTTCGTCGCACGTTAAACATCTTTAACGTTGTTTCAACTGTGCACGACAGGCTGGAGAATCGTGCGTCAGGCATGTCTTTATCTGTTCAGTCCCAACACTCGGGCGAGTGGGGCCACTGGATGCGAACATTTGGACTTTTTTTCCAATCAGTACGATTTATGATGGTCGGATTTTGAGCTTGCTCGTGTACCGTAAGATCTTTGTCGAAAATTTGGGCCTAGCCAGCAGATGAACAGTTGCTGTCGTGGTGTACCTCAGCGTGGTGGCGACGGTGCTGAGGGTTGACATAGGATGTGCATAGGTAGGATCTTCCTTCGAGAAACCGCCCACAGGAGATGTTACTCATCTAAGCTGCGGGTAAATCTTTTGGTCAAGGGTTGAGTCTCAGCAGCGCAGTTTTCCGTTCACTCCAGACTTTTAACCGAGAGATGTCATTTAGTGGTATATTTGGAAAGAAGACTTTACTCATGTTCCAAATGAGTTTTGATATACTTTTTCATCCATGCGTTTGGGGGGCTGGCTGATGAGAGCCAGAAAGGACACTACACCTCTGGGGGCGGCCAACTCCGAGATCCCCTCACAGCTCTGTTAATGCTCATTTGAGATATTGTCCGTGGACGAGGACGTGCAGCAGGAGTCTTGCATGAGGTTCCGTAAAATCAGAACAGTGAAGGGCTGGCGCCCGAGTTAGACTGACTGACTTTCTACCCCACCAGAACATCACACAAGCGATAAACACCCGATGACACAATGTGCCTCCATGTGGATGAGGATCACCGTGGAGAGGTCCCAGAAACCCCGTTCAGCCATTACACCATATTTATGGCCAGGCTATATTGCGGCCCCTGCATGAGCCAGAGTAGGGCTTTAAAAAAAACGAAAAATCGCATCCCGAACAAGGACGGCAAGAATAATAACCCGAGTGAGGTACGGAGTATCTATTTATACACATCACATCGGACTTACATTCCCTCACGCATGTGACAGAAATCACCGCGCCACTCAGTCATACATTAAATCTGGCTCTATACCGCATGCAAGAATTATTCCTCTAACCTCCCGTGACATGATTAATAGCATAAAGTGTTCTTCGTGTGATGAAATACAGTTTTAGCCTGTCATTGTATGTTCTTTATCTCGGTGATACATCTTAGTCCAACGTTACTTAGTCAAAAAAAAAAGTAAGTAAGTAAAGGACACTCCTCGGCGCCCATCCCCCCCCCCCCCCCCCCCCCCCCCCCATTGTCATTGAAGCATCATGCATATGGCGCAAGACCCGTGCTTGTCTTGACCATCCGTTCTCAACCTGTGGGTCGAAGGACATTTTTACAAGCGTCGCCTAAGACCATCGAAAATCAAATACTGATTGGAGTTATGAAGTAGCAACGAAAACAGTTGTATGGTTGGTGGTCGCCACAGCATGAGGAACTGTATTCAAGGGTCTCACCAAGATGGTGAACTATATATATTAAAGGGTCGCGGCAATAAGAAGGTTGAGAACCTACTGGTCTAGACTAACTGGTAGTCGATGATTGGTAGGTTAACTTCACTCAAGCCATGTTTACTTCTCATATTTTCTCAAAGCGGAACTTTTGTTCTAGAAACACAGCTGCCAGTATTTCCGTTCCTTTCCGCTTTACCACACACACACAAATGCAAAATATTTAACCCCCTATAAGCTAGCCGAAGCTGCCAACAGTCTCTGGTTAAATGTGTGCTGTCTGGTTTATTTATGCTACTTTCGTGGCTCTCTAGCTTTTGCCGGTACTTACCATGCAGTGTCTTATAAAGGGTGCCTGTACTCGCTGCAAAGTGCCTATTGCATGAAAACTGGAAAAGAAAATTATGTCATTAAAAGGTGCCGATACTGTGTACCACCAGGGGAAAAAAACCTGCACAGAAGGCATGTAATGCTTGTGCAGTAGTTGTAAGTTTCTGGATGCTAATGGTAACCAGTTTGAGCAGCTCGTGTGCAATGACACAGGTGAAAGGTCAGCTTAGAAGGTCGTGGGTTCACTCCCTTTTTTTTTTTTAAATGACCCTGGCTCCCAGGTTGACCCAGACTTGAGTCGGTACCGGGTGCAGTCCTGGGAAGTAAAGGCGGCCGACGTGATGCTGACCACATGCCCCTATCTTGTGCCGATTGGTTTAAAAAAATATAGGTCTAGCCCTATATGTCCTGTATTCCTAAAGGCGTTAAAAATGGTCCTATACTAACTTTTTTTTAAGGTCAGTTTGTTCCAGTGTGGTTTCGGGAGCCCCAATAAGAAAGGGGGTGGGGTAGAGAGAGATAATAGAACCACTGCCATTTAAGAAGCATGTCAGAAATAGTGACTGATTAACAGTCTGCTGAAATCCTGTATGCTGGGCCGAAAGGCACGGGTATTGCAGACTAGCTTTACGCTACAACATGCCAATCGCCCTTTAAATGGTGAACAGGGAAGAAAAAGATAATTTCGATTCATTCCTTGATGTCTGTTTAAATCTTATTTTATAATTATATACAGTATTTAATTGATTCCGGTATCATAGCATGTACACATTTATTTGCCAGACTTATTTTTATCCACACAGAAGAACGTCCCTTCTCCTGCTACATACACAGTGAAAGACCCGTATGCCGTCGCTCCAGCAATCACCTCGTGCTTCAGATCTAAAACACCTCGCTACCCTGAAAATGGCCCAATAGATTAAACATATATATTATGTGCATGTATTTAGCGTGTCTTTGGTGATGCTGATTGTAAGTGATTCGGACACAAACACTAAGTGTCACAATTTATGGCTTGGCATACATAACTGTGGCTTAGAGGCTGCTGATTTCAACCATGACCTACTTTAGTTTGAAGGCCTTGGGGCAGAAAACGTCAGCTTGTCACCTTCTCCCTAATTGTGAACACCACCATTCTTCATCTTCCATGCTTATACTGGTAATTGTAGGCCAGATATTCTATCTATCCATTGCTTGTGTGGTCAACCTCTGGCTCTGCTTCTATTATGTCAAGTAACAAGGTTTTCTGTGGTGCACAGTCTGGTAGTAGACTTGACATACGTCCTGATCATTTGACTGCTATCTCTCGATGTAACTACATACTGGTTCCTCTTATCATAATTTCTGATCGTGTCTTTTCTAGTTAAAACTTAGGATTCTCTGCAGGCATTTCATTTCACTAGTTTCGATTTGTTTCTCTTTATTTGTGTGGTTAATGTCCATGTTTGGCACTGGTAACAGAATGCGGTAAATAGCTACAGGCAGCAAAGATAATTACATGCTAATGCCTTCTTTTAAGACCCATGTAGACATCGATATAAAGGCATGAAGTATTAGACCTCAACATGTACCATCAATAAATTTAGATGTTGCTGAAGATGGGGATGCAGCACTTATGGGAATCTCCTGAGTACTGTGACATTTCTCAAATATTTTAAGTGTATATTCCAAAAGTTATATACACATGCATATTTTTTTTTTAAAGGATATATTTATTGTGTAAGCTTTTAATCAAATATTTACACACAAACCCTTGGGATGAAATCTACATTTATAAATATAACAAACTGCAAACTGTGTTATGTCCACTTCAAATCTGTATGCAGGAACTTTGTAAGTAGACAACAACTGAACATTATCACACGGTGAATCAATAATTTTTCACTACAAATGGCAGAGAAAAGCAACAACAACAAGAACAAAACAGATCTGCATGCGAGCCAAACACATACAAACATGCTCACTCAATTATAAGAAATAAATAAATCAAAGATTTGCTAACAGAAGAAAAAAATATGCTTAAAATATTGGCCCTTTTGTAAACAATAAAACTGTCAATGACAAACTGTAAATTCTACAGGCTCAGTCACAGTTTCCATAGAAAGACAATAAATTCTACAGGCTCAGTCACAGTTTCCATAGAAAGACAATATGTCAACATTACGACGTTGGGAACAATCAAATATCGGCTTCCTGGGGTGAACTGGTTCAAAATTATATATCCTGCTTCGATATGTTCAGATCTTCTCCTAGCTTTGTCTTTCATTTAGTATGATATATCTTGATACAGCTAACATCGTTCTTGTTTGAAACACCTAGATCTTCGCCTAGCTTTGGCTTTCATTTAGTATGATATATCCTGTTGCAGCCAACATTTCTTTTTGTTTGATACTACTAGATCTTTATGTAGCTTTGTCTTTAATTTAATATGATATATTTTGCTGCAGCCAACATCTTTCTTGTTTGATATTTCTAGATCTTCACCTAGCTTTGTCTTTCATTTAATATGATATATCTTGCTGAAGCTGACATCTCTTATTGTTTCATTCATTCACATCTTCACCTTCTTTGTCTTTTATTTAATATGATATATCTTGCTGCAGCCAACATCATTCTTGTTTGATACACCTAGATCTTCACCTAGCTTTGTCTTTTATTTAATATGATTTATCTTGAGGCAGCCAACATCTCTTTTTTGTTGGATACGATTCACATAGCTTTGTCTGTCATTTAATATGATATATCTTGCTGCAGCCAACATCATTCTTGTTTGATACACCTAGATCTTCACCTAGCTTTGTCTTTCATTTAGTATGATATATCTTGCTGAAGCCAACATCTTTCTTGTTTGATACGAGAGGGTTGAGAACCAAAGTAACAATACTAACATGAATATTATCTTCAAGGTTGAGCTTTTTCCTCTGCGTTCATCCTAAGATGTAAATGTATTGTGCCCATTTGCAATATGGCTACCATATCTGCACCTTTTGGCTGACACATCTAACTTCTGCAGGCATTTTTCCTCAGTTTAGCCTACCACGTAAACTCTTACTCACCAAGTTTGTAAAACTTTGTATCCCTGCTCTCAGGGAAAACCCATATGCATTACAACTAGAATTTGCGGACAAATAAATAAATTGGTTGGTGTGCATTAGGACTTATTGAACATACAAGAAATCAATATCACAGGATAAACTAGACAACACATAGTTGGAATGGAAATTTCTTTCTAAAAATGATACTTTAACTTTTCTATCAGGCAACTCACAATACATCTGTTGATAACTCAATACTTGGTACACATTTCTTAGACACTTTAGATTCTCTATAAAGATAATCCATTATGTTTGTGTTTCTTTAACTCTTTCAGTCCCAAAATATTTCACAGCAGATGTCTAAAAGGGACAATAGCCACACCGAAGAGGCAGGAGTTTTTACTTTCAAGGAGGCAAAATTCAGAGTACTGCATTTTCAAATACCTTGCCAGATTTCGTTAGTATGATCAGGCAAAATGCAAATGATATCATTGAAAACCATGTACTGCTTGATTCACACAGACAGGCAAGTGTGGCTCACGCATCAGGCTTTTATTAGAACAGAATGAATTAAAACAGTTAAGAATGATGGGCTCTTATTTAAAAGGTTCCCTACTATGAAGGTCTTCAGTTTTTTCTCGACAAAAGGTACCTCCACTTCTTTAGCTTCTTATGACTGCTTCCATGATTTACACGGACAGACAAGTTCTTGTGATAAACCTGATCCATGGGATGAAGGGTGTCTTTTTAGTTCCACACAACTTGGGTACCCCAACTAAAATAAAGTCTTCATATGTATGAGACAATATGTGCCCTAACATGAGATACCAATAAATTCTAGACAATATATTCCCTACTAACATAAGACAAAAATAATTTCTAAAAAAATGTATCCTACTAGCAAGCGTTAGATATAAATAATTTCTGACAAAATGTAGCCAACTAATGTAACATTCGTCGGCTCTGTGGCTAAGTCGATGCGAGCGCTTCGTAATGAAGGGATGCCGGGTTCGATCCCAGCTGCGGGCCATGCGCCTTGCGTTGGTTTCGACAGTGGTATCAAGAAAGCCGACCGCCCAGAAAGCAATGGCAAACTACTGGATGTAAATTTGCCTAGAAAAACCACACAACAGCCAGGGGCTGTTGGAGTTGGTTCTGCAACTAACTAATTAATGTAACATTCGACTATTTCCTAGACATAAAAACAGTTCCCTACAAACACAAAGCCTAATTATATTCTCAACAATATCTAATTTACATATATGATGCCTTCTCTTACTATGTCTCCATAGAATGCACTGTAACATGTAACAGGGAACTTCAGGGAAATTATTCAACATGTAACATTATAGGTAAAAGACCCGGGTTCGAATCCTCTGTAAGGTTGGGGATTCCTTTCTGCCAGAGCACACACACAAAATCTTGCAGTCTGCAGCGACTCAAGCCATGTCGCCTTCAACTCCTTAGGCTTAATCCCCCCCCCCCCCCACCCCCAACACAAGAATGGTAATTACAGGCAGTAATGGCAGTAGTAACGCTATAAGCAATTAAACTAATAACAAGAACAAGTACTGAATGCCTAAGCTCCAGACAGTTATGCCGTTGTCATGATTCTGGGAATAACATTGAATGGTGCTACAGGACATGTTGCCTCCAGCATGGTCCCTGTCATGTGGCAGTGGCTGGCGTCCTCGGGTTGGCCCACAGACTCCAGCACTGTGCCTAGCATGAACCTGTCAAGCAATACAAAAATAACCCTCTTTCAACTCATCAGTATCAACCAGCTTATCATATATTCAGCAGTCTTTCTTAGTCCTTCTTCTTCTTCGCATTCATCGGCTATAAACTCTGGCAGAAAGTTCTGGTTGTTTATCCACTTCTGGACTTCCTGTTTCCAGAACTTGAGTTTTTCATGCACATCCACTTTACAGATCAGGCTTACTTATGTGCAGACTGTTAGTTGCTTGCTTTTCAAGCAGATGTACTCAGACTCCACAGGAACAACCCTAATATTTCACATTTTTATGACATGACTGTTAGGACAAAGTGGGTCTATTCTTGTTTCCACCCAAGACAGGGCCCCTAAACCTACGTTGGGAGTTTATTGTTCACTTCACCCCCCCCCCCCCCCCCCCCCCCCCACGCATGCACACATACACAACTGTTAGTACTGCCTATATTTACCACTTTTTACAGTGAAGGTGGGAGGAAGGGTGTGTGTCTCTGAATCTGAGAATCTAGGGCAGCGCAGCCAGTGCCGTAGCTATGGGCTAAGCAAGTAAGAATTATATCCCCCCAACCCACACATACATACACACACATAGAAAACACCCAGAAACTTTCTGAGGATTCAAACCTGGGTTTCCTGCATGAAAGCCCAGGATCCTTAACCAGCCATTCCTCTATGTTTATCACTAACTCCTTACACGGTATCCTCATTATGGTTCCCCCACCCCAAATGGTTTGCAAATTTAGAGAGAATGCCTTGTGACGCCATACATACCATACAAGGCATACATCAAAAGAGGTGAAGGACATTTAGTACAAGTACTGGATTGAAAGATAACATCAGAGAAACTCTACAACAGCATGATGTGACTACGGCTGAGGCGGCCAGAAGATCGTCAAGCAGAACCTTAAATCTCCCTCGACACTAGAAGTGGTAAAAGAGGAAGTGAAGAGGAAGAAGATGTGGTCTATACCAAGGATATTTTTAAAAGATATAATTTCCAATTAAATGGTATGCTTTTTCTTATTCCTTGCATCTCACCCAATTATAACATTCTTCCTCTTTTATAGTCTATGCTGTGTGGCACTGGTGGTCATGTCTAACCAGAACTGTCTTTTGTATTTTCAATCAGCTCTGGCACAGATGATCTTCCGTGAGGTCACACTGTCCAGCATCTGTTCCCTCAGTCTCCCTCTGCCTCTTTCCCCCCTCCAACTTTCCCACCGTCACAATGTAATCCAGTGTTCTCCTTGTCATGACATGGCTAAAGAATGTAGACTGTCTCCTCCTGTTCTCTCAGTCTCCCTCTGCCTCTTTCCCCCCTCCAACTTTCCCACCGTCAAAATGTAATCCAGTGTTCTCCATGTCATGACATGACTAAAGAATATAGACTGTCTCCTACTGTCCAGCATCTGTTCTCTCAGTCTCCCTCTGCCTCTTTCCCCCCTCCAACTTTCCCACCGTCACAATGTAATCCAGTGTTCTCCTTGTCATGACATGACTATAGAATATAGACTGTCTCCTGACAGAGGAGATGATGAATATAGCACAAACATTGACTAGAAGGCTCAACAGAAGGAATGGATAAGGCGCAGACGAACACTAAGAACGTCAAAACTATGGATGAAACAAAGCCCTAGAGGGATCAATGTTCAACACAGCTTTACTAAATTTAATTGTATCTATTTACTTGTTCATTTAGTTAGCTTATTCATATTTCTCAACCATTTTTTTACATAGGCCACCTTGCTTTTGTTGTTGTTTCGTATTGATTGGCACCTTTCCATTTTTCAGACGATAATGTTATATTGCGCTATGAGGAGGCATGGGACTCACAGCCCATGGTGATGGTGAGTGTGAATAGCAAGACCCACCTGTGTCAAGAAAAGTCTTCCACAGTGACCATTCTCTCCACAGCTTAAAGCCTGGGTAGTATTGTATAGACCATATGTTGCTCTTGCATTATGATCCCTCCCTCGACCTGCCTTGTTTACTCCAAAGGAAAGGTATCATCAGTACGTTTGGAACAAAGCAGGCTGTGGAAGCTGCCGGATCAGGAGAGCAGTACTCTATCTGTCCACCTGTCGGAGCCTCCCTCTTAGACCAGCTGCCAGCCAAGGCTAAGGGCCTGGTTTGCCCTGCCATAACACAAAGTTTTCAGGTTGCATTTCCTCTTCCTAGGATAAGGCTAGTGTTCTCCCCAATGCGTTCCTCCGCTCGAAGCCATTGGAACAATATGGGATGTAAGGTTTAATATACGCCGCCTAACATTCGAATTAACAGAAAACAGGTGGTACTGGCTACTATTATACGGCAGCTCAGTCATATCTGCAGGGCTCTCAATACCTGTCAAACTAGATGCAAGGCAGCATGCTGCCAAATCACCCACAGCTGGAATTGAAATGGGTACCTGAGAATTACAAAGCATGTTTGCAATGCCTAAGCCATAGTTTCTGACACCAAACAGACAATTAAGACATACCTTTCCTGACTTATTAATGATACTTACCAAGCTTTATGAAAACAAGGATCTAGGTTGACAGTATCACGTAAAATCTTCTCAGCCAATCTGTCATCTCCAAGCTTGTGTAGAACTATTCCCTAAATCCACAGATTTACAAAATTAGAACAATAACTCGGTTCAGTGTTTAAACAAAGACAATTTTGCAATCTTGCTCCATAAACAGTATGGACAGTGTATAAATATATCATCATTATGTAGCAGGTCCTTTGCAGAACGTCACTCTTATCACGGTCTGTCTGAAGAAACTCGATCTCTCGCCAGCTCTCCCGCCTCATGTACTTTCATACTCAAGGACGTCGACCTCTGCCCCTCCTTCCTGGTACCATGCCTTCTGCTTTAATTTTTTCCAAGCCATCGGGCCCTTGATATACAAAATATTTCAGATTCTGGAAAGGATGCGTTTATAGCCCATCCTCTTGCGGTAGTCTTTAAAGAGTCATTTTTCTTCTTTTTCTCGGGGTTTTAATTACAATGTTTTTAAAATGACTAAATACACGGGTCCCCAAGTTTCTATACCAAAAAAAATTTAATGCATTTCCCCACGGGGGAAGAACTGTATAGTAGGGGGTATTAACTAAATTTTATTAGGGGCCAAAAATTTTTAAAAAAGGGGGGTTTTTCCACTGGCTAGAAGCCCCCCACGCATAGAGAGACCATAAAACAATACAAAGAAGTCTTCTTTTTCTTCTTTTTCGATCCTTCTGTCAAAAACTATTCAGGAGGCCGGGAGCCTTTATGAAAGTAGTCAATCCCTATCCTCTTGGTACCCTACATTTTTGTCTTCATTGGGTTTTTAACGGCCAGATTGGGTTCTTTGTCAGCAACAGTTACAGTGTTGGGGGCACACCAGCATTTTCGGTGCCACGTGCAGGGGCACGTCTCCCTTTTTAACCGAAAAAATTTGAAAATATGTTTCAAATCTGTTTTGCCCTGTCTTAGTTGAATAAAAAGCTGTCCTTTTCTAAGAGGCGGAATGGTCCTTGGGGAGAAAAATTTGGGGTGGGTATCCAGCCCCCTTTCGGATACTAGATTTTAAGGTTTTTTCTCCTTGGTGGTTTAAATCCTATTTTGGTTTTACCCGTCACTGCCCCTTCGGGCCAAACTGTCCCTATTTTTTTGCCCCCAAGCCACAGTGACCTGGAAACCACTGCAGTACAGATTTTTCTATTTGGGGCCTAAGTAAATCGCTGTTCTCAAGTCTACAAAAAATGGTGTCTTTTTGGGGTTAAAATTGCTTGTAGAACGACATAGCATCACAAAAAGACCACTC